CTTCACACCCCCCCTAAACCCTAAACCCTAAACCCTAAACCCTAAACCCTAAACCCTAAACCCTAAACCCCAAAACCCTAAACCCTAAACCCTAAACCCTAAACCCTAAACCCTAAACCCAAACCCCTCTCCAAAACAACTACAAGGGCGCAGTATGTAGGGTTTGGAGCTTCTAAAACTCACTCTGGAAACAAATGCCTACCATCCTGAAGCCTCAAAGAAAGAACGGTTCAGGGTTTAGGGTTTAGGCCGCAATCCCTAAACCCTAAACCCAAACTCCTAAGCCCTAAACCCTCATCCCTAAATCCTAGACCCATCAACCCCAGACCTCCTACATAACATCAGCCACCTATATGAAACTCCTCAGGGAGCCCTCCCTGCAAAGGAAGCCTAGAAACCCCCTCGGCTCTCACCCTGAAAGGCTGTACCCTAAACCCCAAACCCCAAAATCGTAAACCCTAAATAACCCTAAACCCCAAACCCTACATCGTAAACCCTAAACCCTAAACCCTCAACGCTAACCCCTAAACCCTAATTCCTAAACCCTAGATCCTAAATCCTAAACCCTCAACCCTAAACCCTCAACCTTAAACCCCAAACCCTAAATGCTAAATCCTATATCCTCAACCCTAAACCCTAAACCCTCAACCCTCAACACTCAACCCTACACCCTGAATCCGAAATCCTAAATCCTCAACCCTAAACCCTAAACCCTAAATCCTAAACCCTCAACCCTAAACCTTAAACCCTCAATCCTAAACCCTAAACCCTCAACCCTAAACCCTCAATCCAAAACCCTCAACCTTAAACCCCAAAGCCTCAACCTTAAACCCTAAACCCTAAACCCTCAACCCTAAACCCTCAACCTTAAACCCTCAACCCTCAACCCTCAACCTAAAACCCAATTTAAAGGCCATGGAGCGGGTCTCCGAAGCTGCCCGGCTCGCCCTTCTGGGGCTTCCAGGTAACTGCCTGGCTCGATTCCGTTTTCAGTTTTGGGGTTTAGGTTTGTTGTTTAGGGTTTAGAGTTTTTGGGTTTTAGGGTTTTTGGTTTAGGTTTGTTGTTTAGGGCTTAGGGTTTAGGGTTTCTGGTTTAGGGTTTAGGGTTTTGTTTCAAGGGCTTTAGGGTTTAGGGTTTTGTTTTAAGGGCTTTAGGGTTTATAGGGTTTTTGTCCGGGGGTTTCGGTTTTAGGGGAAAGGGTTTAGGGATGAGGGCTTCGGGCGCCGGCTGCTGCTGGTGCTTGCTGCGGTGTAGGGATTGGGGTGCATGTCTTTCTTGGTTTCTGGAAACATTATGGTTTAGGAGCTTAGGGGTGGCTCTTATTCTGGTTGTTCTTATTCCGTCCTGTGCTACTGCTTTCGCCTGATGTACGCTGCTGTCTTGTCGTTCGTTGTCGGTATCTTGATCTAGGGTTGATGGTTGCTGGCCTTGTTTTGCTGTTTCAATTGCTGCTGCACTTGACATTTTGGCGGTTGCGAATCTATAAGTTCGATGTTCAGCTTTGCAGGCGTTCAACAAATATGGGCTGTGCTTTTTTTCATACTTTGCTGCATTGAAAAACGCTTGGAGCAGTCTCAGACTTCAGCTGTGGCATCCGTAGATGCGGAACACCTGGAAATATTATTAGTATGTGTGTGCATGCATTGTATGTCTTGGACTCTGATCCATGAGTTGGGGACACCCAGCCACTGCCGTGTCTCCCCGAAGCTCTAAACCTAAACCCAAAACCCAAAACCCAAAACCCTCTAAACCCTAAACCGCTAAAAGCAAAGACAAGACGGACGCAGGACCGACCTCGTGGCCGGCGATGAGGAAGAACAGCAGGGCGAAGCCCTCTGCGCCCTTCCACAAAGGGGTTGTGGGCGTTGGGCTCAAGTTGCTTAAGTTATGAAGGTTTAGGGGTTTAGGGTTTAGGGTTTAGGGTCAAGTAATTGGGGTTTAGGGTTTAGGGTTTGCAGGGTAGAGGGCCTTAATACCCGTTATAAGGACCTAATGAGGCCCACTCTGCATAGTCCCCTACCCCCTCCCTGAGGAAGGGCTTCAGGTCCCCCTGCAACGGTTCAAAAGCATCATGGTTTAGGGTTCGGTTTAGGGTTTAGGGTTTAGGGTTGAGGGTTTAGGGGTTTAGCGTTTAGGGTTTAGGGTTTGAGGTTTGGGGTTTCGGGTTTCGGGGTCTTGGGCTTATAAGGCCTTATCGTGCCTAGATTCAGTACTACTACAGACAGAAGGGGCATGATGCTAGCTATTACTATTTCAGTAAGCATCCAAGTACGCGCCAACTACCACAGCATTTGGACCGAAAGCCCTAATACGCCCTTAACCCGGAACCTTTCCATTCGGCTATTTAGGCCCTCCACCCTACACACTAGCATGACACCCGCTTAGAATCTTAAATCTTAACCATAAGCAATAAAGCTCCTGTAACACGAAGGAAGGGCTCTGGCATCCAGTTATCAACTGGAGTCTTCCCATTAACGCTCTCCAACGTGCCACCCTACAAAACTCATGCCACCGTACCCATTGATTGCTAGGGCGACCCTGCTGCCGGGGTATTTGGACCCTCTAGGTAAGCCCTTACAGCACGCGGGATAGCAAGCAACATGGCAGCTCTATACAACCCTGAACCCGAAACGAAGAGAAGTCAAACTTACAGCCCTAAACTCTAAACCCTAATTACATAGTCTATGTATTTCGGACCCTATATTAAACCCTCAACCCTAAGCCCAAATACTACTAAACCATGAAGTCCGAAACCCTAAACCCTAAACCCTAAACCCTAGACCCTAAACCCTAAACCGCTCTGAAACCCCGCAGAACCCTAAACTCCCAAACCCTGACACCTCGCTGAGCCCCTCCTGTAGACCCAAAGTAACCCCTGAAACAAACCTATACAACCTAAGCCGCATGTTGCAAGCCCTGGTGTTCACCCTAAACCAAAGGCTCCCGATAGAGTACCATTCAGGTCCCCAAAGACCATCCTTATCATAGTTTTAAGGGCCTAATTCCATAATCGTAGTATATGTGGAGCCTCTAGGTACACCCTCCTATATCCGACACCCTAAACCCTAAATCCGAAACCCTAAACCCTAAAACCGAAACCCATCAAAACCCTGTACACCTTCATCCATGCTTACTGCTTACATGGTAGTACAGTTGCGCCAACGGGCCCCGGCTCGTGGCTGGACATTTAAAGCAAACCAGCGTGCTTTGCCAGGATGACTTGAATCTGAAAACCTGCTGGTGGTATTTCCAATCTCTCCGCAATTCGGTACAAACAAGCCTCATCTTGTTGTGGCAGATGCTTTGACCAGCCAAGGCAAGCTGGCTGGCTGGAAATGGACCACCATGAGGCCCTCAAGAGGGGTGCAAGCCACGAAAAAGGAGATTGATACTCCAAGTCAATTGCAAACACAGCATCCAACGTCTTGCCCGGCAACAACAGTTCTTCCTTGATATCGAATACAAGGAATCTGGAGAATCTCGTGGAGCGTGGTCTCCATAATGGCAGGTTCACAAATATTCCCAGAGCATGGTATTGGTCATACTCTGTGACGATTCTGGCAGCATCACCATAATACACCAAAAGTACTCTAAACACTAGACATTCAGTTGATGGTATGAACCCTGCATTACCTTAAGAACCTGAACTATGGGAATGACGGTATCTTTCTTTTTTTGGGCGTAATGCAGGATTCATATCATCAGCCGTTACAGCCTAAACCCTAAACCCCAAATCCTAAATCCTAAACCCCAAACCCTAAACCCTAAACCCTAAACCCTAAACTACAGGACCCCAAGACCCGCAATCCTGGAGAAAGGCCTTGGTGGTGTTCAGGGCCGCGAGTCCAGTGGGCACATCCTCGAAGCCAGGAAGCCTTCTAAGGAGTGGGTCTTAGGGCTTTCCTTTGGGTTTAGGGTTTAGGGCTCAGGGTTTAGGGTTTAGGGTTTAGGGTTCAGGGTTTAGGGTTTGGGGTTCATTTTTTAGGGGTCTTAGGGCTTTCCTTTGGGTTTAGGGTCTGGGGTTTAGGGTTTAGGGTTTAGGGTTTAGGGTTTAGGGCTTAGAGTTTGAGGATTAGGGTTTAGGGAGGGCTGTTCCTTTGGGTGTAGGGTCTGGGGTTTAGGGTTTAGGGTTTAGGGTTCAGGGTTTAGGGCTTAGGGCTTAGAGTTTGAGGATTAGGGTTTAGGGAGGGTTCAGGGTTTAGGGCTGAAGGACTAGGGTTTAGGGTTTAGGGTTCAGGGTGTAGGGCGTTACTTGGCGGTTCATGGGTAGTGATGAATACAGTTACAAGTCCCGCAGTATGGGTCTTATATCTATAGCTTAGCCCACTTATAACCGACCCTTTACCTACCCATCAACCTCCAAGGAAGGCTCAAGCACCCCAGAAACCCTAAAAACAAATGCCCTAAACCCTGAACCCTAAACCCTTAGACTCTTAAACCCTAAACCCCCAAATACCCTTAAACACTAAACCCTTAAACCCCAAATGCCCTAAACCCTAAACCCTAAACCCCTAAACCCTAAACCCTAAAACCAACCCTGGCGTCTGCTTCGTTCCCAGGGGCTTCACGAAGTGCGCGAAGAGCGATCCGGTTGCCGCCATCATGGCGAACCGGCCGTGCTTGATTTCCTGAGCAGCACGGCAAAGCAAAGCAGGGTTTAGGGTTCAGGGTTCAGGGTTCAGGGTTCAGGGTTTAAAGTTCAGGGTTTTAAGGTTCAGGGTTCAGGGTTTATATGGTTTAGGGTTTAGAGTTCAGGGGTCAGGGTTCAGGGTTTAGGGTTCAGGGGTCAGGGTTTAGGGTTTAAGGTTCAGGATTTAGGGTTTAGGGTTTAGGGTTCAGTTCGGGCTTCTAATAGAAGCCGGAAAGTTGGAGCATCATTTTCTCATGCCCTGAAGGTAAAGGATTGGGGATCCCAGCACTAATCATCCTAAATCCATGTTTCAACTTTCTGGGGTCCACTATAGAATTTTATTAGAGTGTGGGATCGGAACTTGAAGCGCCCTTGCAACCAACAACACTCTTGTAGAACCAATATCTAAAACCCCCAGTAACTACGGAAGAAATCGGGCTCCCTTTTTGGTATTGCGTAGGTTTTATAAGGAATCTAAGTCCACAAAAAAGAAAACAAGGCCCACCGGGAGACCTCGGCGTAGAGTCTACAAGAAGTCCCGGGAGTAGGGGCCTAAATAATTACCAATACTGTTTTGGTGGTTCCCTATTCTAACCCTAAACCCTAAACTCTACGCCCTAAGCCCCTGAACCGTGCCTGGACACTTCAAGGCTTAAGCTTAAGGGTTCAGGGTTTAGGGTTTAGGGCGGGGCTTAAGTTTAGGGGCTTAAGGTTTAGTGTTTAAGGTGGACCCTTTTAGACTCGAAGCCCTAAGCCCTAAACTTTCCGCTCGAACACAGACCCCGGAAGGATCCTTTTCGGGTTGTCCAAGTCTTTAGGGGCTGAGTTAAAGGAAACTACAGGTGGGGAGTTTAGGGTATATAGGGCTTCTACAAGGCTTCCACAAGGTATAAAGATCTTCTATAAGGCTCCTATAACGGTAACTGACCTGGGTTCAGTAGCCTAGCCCAGAGAAAAGTGAACCTTCTGAATTGTAGTAGGATCGTATCCTAAACCCCAAAACGTTACCCTAAACCCTAAACCCCTTAATCCTAAACCCCAAACCCTAAACCCCTAAACCCCTTATCCCTAAACCC